CGTTAATTTCGATTTTCTAGACCTTTGGATTTAGATAAGTTCTGAGTATTCTTTACTCACCACTCCCGTCTTTTCAACTGAAACCAGAGGCAGGCGACATTCTTAAGTGAATAAAGGACGTAATAAGTTTCTGGTACTGATAATCCAATCTCCTCCTGGGTATGTTTAACATGTGCAATTGTACCTGGTATTTGACCGCAAGGGGAAAGAGGAATCGCTTGGCCGAAAGGATTTCCCGTACTTTCACTCTTTTCTTAAAGACGAACTGTTAGATCCTGTCTAGAATCGACAGATGATAAAGTTGTACACAATGTGAAAATAACAGTCATGCCTCCACCTTTACATGCGAGGCTAATTTCAGTTCAGAGTAGTTCAGGAAATGGAACAAGATAGAAATAAAGAACTAACTTACATATGAATACCTGAGAGAGGGGTAACGAGGACTTATCTATGGATAAGCCCTCTCCACGTCACGAAGAATACTACAGAAAATTAACTTATAGAATCAGACGTAATTGTGATTGCTAATATTTTTTTTTTCCTTGACACTACAGCCCCAGTGGGCCTAGGCCTACCTCCATGAACTCCGTTCACTTCGGTTTTTCTAGATCTTACACATTCGGTAGGACTCCTTGGGCGAGTGATCAGCTCGTTGCAAGGCCTCTAACTGTACACAAATACAGAAAAACGCACACAAACATCCATGCCTTGAGTGGGATTCGAACCCACGATCCCGGTTTCCAAGCGAGCGAAGACAGTACACGCCTTAGACCGCTCGGCTACCGTGACCGGCGATTGCTAATATTATGTACATAAAAAAAGGCATGAATATAATCAAATGAAATATAGCGATCGTTTGCAAGCTATTTGTACAGCATTTGGTCATGACTACGGTACTTGCTTTAATAATCACAACCAAGTTACCAATTTATATTTAATAAAATCTGACTGAACTGGCGAACGGGATACATCAGTGTGAGGAATATGTTTGGCAAATGGCAGTGCTGACACAGGGTACAAAATATTCAATCCCTTAATTTCAATGTAATATGCAGTGGACGCTGCGATTATGAAAAATTTACATCCACTAATTACGACGTGTCCATGTGCGTACCAGTTCTTCCCATTACAAAAAAAGAGAACCCTTTGCGTATTCGGGGTTTTTGTAGATTAAGTTTTTCGCGAGAATTTACATGTTCCTAGCAGAAGATTTAAGTAATTTTCCTGGGGAGTGAAGCGCGGCCGGCGCGTAAGGCTGACAACCTTACCGCCATCTGTGAGCCGATTGTCAAGGTAATGTGGGACCTTAGCGTCTCACAACCCTATGGGCCTTCACGGCCTGTTACAGGGATAGCTTTACTTGTCTTACTTTTACCTAGCAGAAGATTTATCCTAGTTCTCAGCTTATCTGAATACGAAAAGACAGCCAATAATATGGTCTAAATACTATTATTCAAGAATGTTGTCTTCTAGGATATGGTCCCGTGTAGATATTGTGTAAACCGACGTTTCGGAGTAATATATCACCTCCATCTTCAAAGTATAAAAATCCGCTATCGTGGTACCAGTGTGAGCAGATGGCTAGCGGATATTTATAGCCTGAAGATAGAGGCGATATGTTCCTCCTAAACGTCGGTTTACACAATATCTACAACTAAACCTCAAATATCACACTATCATTCAATATCGAAAATAAAAGACACCGGTGCGGGTTCCGTTCAGAATTGATAACACTAACAAGTGTTTTCCCAGTCCCTCCATCCTGGCGGTTTTCAAACTGAATTGCCTATGAACCCGGGTATGCGGAATTGGACTAGGATACACTAATCCATTTCAACAATTAATTTTCTATCGAGAGTTCCGTCCTATGTCTTCCTTTCTATTTCCGACGCCCAGCTGGCTTGATCAGATTCCATAGAGCTAAACTCTTTGGCGTACACTGCTTTCCAAAGACTGTTTCCCTTTTTAAAGGAATTGAAGTTTACAAACCCGCAGGCTCAGCACCCTTAATACCAATGAGGACACTGGACAAGATCCTGAGCCATTTCAATTCATCTCGAATGTCTCAATTCAACTTCCCTTCATTCGTCTTAACGTCTTCCTCATATCTCCTTCATGATCACAGACAAAGCTAGTTCAGGCCGTGAAGCTCATGAATTGTGTTCGTGAGGCTCTCAGTTGAGAACACTGACTGCCTTAACTGAGGCTCTTCGTGGTTTTCTCAGTTCCGCCAGGCGGTTTCCGGGATAGTGCTCTCCATCCCACACCTTTCCAATCAATCACTCATTATTAACCCCGGTGCTCCACATCATATATTCTGAGCTACTGACAGCGTCAATAAATAAACAATAAATAAATAAATTCTGCCTTGAAGAATGCCGTCTTCTGGAATGTGGCGAAGTGTAGATATTCTGTAAACCGACGTTTCGGAGGAACGTATTGCCTCCATCTTCGGGGTATAAAAATCCGCAAGCGAGTAACCAGGGTGAGCAGGTGGCTTTGGTTCCTCGCTCGCAGCTTTTTATACCATGAAAATGGAGGCGATACGTTCCTCCGAAACGTCGGGATTACACAATATCTACACGGCACCACATTCCAGAAGATATTTTTCATAGTCACCGCCGTGAAAACCTCAAATCTTACATGCAGATTCTGCGTTGTCATTTCGTAAAATTTCCCTGTAAGATATCCGTTAAGTGTTTCTTGTTCTTTTCATCCTTATCGTACCGCAGTTTCCCAGATTTCACCGTCCTGTCCGAAATAGGTGGTCTGTTCCTTGTTCAGTAAACTGCCCATGCCCTGAAGAAATATTTTCCGCCCTTTCCTGCTGATATACACCATCCACATGCATCCGGCACGCAGCTGACATGAGAACTGCGCGACATAGAATTATCGGAAACAGCAGGTAAGTGTAGCTATAAGGTTTTAGACATTTAAAGCCATAGTGGTCAGAAGTTACTGAACTCGGGTAATGCTTGTTACCATTCAGTCCAGAACTTTTTGTCTTCTCGTCTGCTGTCCCAAAACATAAAAATTAGAATATCACCATCATCACCATCATCATCACCATCATCACTGGCACGACAGCCCTTTGTGAGCCCTGGCCTTCCTCAGACTTTTCACCTTTATAAATCCAATAATGTCTGGTTCATTAAATAGTTTGTATAGCTCATGGTTATACCTCTTCCTCCATATTCCATTTTCTTCCACTGGTCCAAAGATATATCTCAGGATCCTCCTTTCAAATATACTTAACGGTCTTTCATCCGATTTTGACAGTGGCCAGGTCTCAGAGGCATAAGATAGCACTGATCTTATAAGTACTTTATTAATTTTTTATTTAGAATATACAAAACTATAATTTTGTCTGTGGTTCTGTATGGGTGTTAAACTTGGTCTCTGACATTAAGGGAGGACTGTTTCAGAGCCATAATGGAAGATTCAACTCTGACAATCAGTTAATATTTTTTCATAAAAGGCCGAATTTCTAAAGAAAATATCTTTGAAATTTTTGAAATTTTTAATTATTCTCCAGGTTCTGACGAGTAACGAATAAATTTAACCACTAAGATATTCATTTCAATCACAAAGCGAACTGAATCTCAATGACTGTTTCAAATGAAACTCTTAATCTTGCAGTCACATAATCCAACACTCGCCATATCACTTAGCGCTGCCAATTATTGCACAAACATATCAGTCCGGTTATTTTACTGTCAGTCCTCACAAGGCTGTGACCAAATCCGTTGTCCCGGAATGGACGCTGTCTGAAAGCAATCTTCCTGTGGTCAGTCGTTGGCTCACTCTGTGTCTGTGACTTACTGTGGACCTACACAGATTGATGTTTCCGCATGACTGTTCTCGAGGGTCGTCGTTGGACTTTGTTCTTTCCAGAACCATTCAACGACGCATTATGGCAAAAAGAGTAAAGTGAAATGATAATAATCTCTAATGTAAATTCCACAGACCATGAGATCGGCTAACCTGGCTAAGATTTCTGTGGTTTTTATGGAAATCTTGGTATAGTATAATACATAGAAATTGGCTAAGATTGTTTTCGGTTGCATCCTTTAGACATTCCTTATCTCAATTTTACTCCATACTGTGTGAACACGGCAGTTTATGTAACATCTTCGAAAATCGCTTGAAGTGAAAAGAGACGCACAATGGTAAATGCAAAAGGAAAGCTGGAAGATATGTGACAGAATTAGTTAAGTCTAGCGAGTTGTTCTGTGGAGAAGCGGCTGTCATTTTCAGGCATAAATAGATTTAAGAATCTTGCATTTGAGAGCTTTCATACGTAAGCGATTCGCTAGATGGTACTTAGAGGCCAATAAAGGCAAAGCGGTAGAAGGCAGTCAAACTACCTCTACCTCAGAAATTCGAACAGTAGATCAAGAACTGAGGAAATCCTTGTTAAAACCCTTAATGTTTTTGCCTTCTCAAATCAAAGCTCTAAGCTCCATAATTCAACATAACTGAGTGATACTCGGAAGCATTTTTGGTATCAATATTATATGTATAAAATATTATTTTAAATGTAAAATATTTTTGCTTATATAGACCAATTTATATTTAAATTTATTTACTGCATTTCATAATGTATATGATTTTCATACAATTAAAGCACACCACACTCACCAAGTTTCCCTCCGAAAATTTCAAATATTCATATAATTCTCATTCTTTTCTATGGGCCTTCGAAAAACACGAATTAAATTTGTACCTTCCTGTTCCAGGGATGTAACTACAACGTAAATCAGGATATATGTACAGAGAGAACTATTCAGATACACAACTCAGTACATAAAAAACAAATCTTCCGGATTTCATGCATTCAAATTCCAATTTTGGAATACCAAATACGCCAATTGACTCTATTGTAAAAGTTTTTGGAAAATACCGTCATACCAAAGAGTACTGTTACATTCAACCTCAGTGAGAATCAGAGTGAGCTGTCAGTTCAGAGGTATGACAAAATGCTGTGCTATATTACTCACAATAAGTCACGATCGCCTCGTTCCATATCCCTTCAAGTCACCATTTAGATCATCCTGTAACAGAGAGAACATTGTTAATGAACTACTTAACTCCATGGTGCATATTGCTTCCTGAAAAGCTGACAGTCGTTAAATTGATCATGATATACTCGTACAATACCTTTTGTCATACTATAAATACTGTGTTCACCAAAATTCGCTGCTTGATCCAATCCTGAGCAATTGCAATCAAGTGTACTTCGTCGCAACCCATTAAGACACATTTTAATAGTATCCTCCAATCTATGTCCATGACTATTCTTTCTATGCATTTCTGATGTCCTTAAAATATTTAGTGAAGGGTACAAAGTTTGAAGCTCCTCGTCATGTTAGATTCTCATTCTACTTCTCCATCTTAAGTAATTCGCACTTCAGTGACATCAAATAATCAAATTAATTAATCATAGAGGGTTTAAAAGGCCGGTCACGGTAGCCGAGCAGTCTAAGGCATGCACTGTCTTCGCTCGTTCGGAAGCCGGGATCGTGGGTTCGAATCCTACTCAGGGCATGGATGTTTAGTTTGTGTTTGTGTACAGGTAGAGGCCTTGCGACAAGCTGATCACCTCCCAAAGGAGTCCTACCGTATGTGCAAGAGCTAGAAAAACCGAAGTGAACGGAGAAGTTCATAAAGGTAGGCCTAGGCCCACTGGGGCTGTAGTGCCAAGGGGGAAAAAAAAAGAGGATGTAAAAACATCACCAATAATAACAAATCTGGGAAAGTGGAGCAAAACTAGTTAACGTTTTCGAATCCTTATATCTGCAGCCCACCCAGACTCCTTTCCAATGAGTACCAGGGGCTCTTCACCCGGGGATAAAGTGGCCGGGGTGGAGTGAGGGGTGTGAAACTGGCCACTCACCTCCAACTAGTGCCGACGTCAAGAAAATATTAACCTATACATCCACTCCCCCATACATCATTATGGCCAAGTATTTAATTAGTTAAGCATATTGAATACAAAACGAATATAACTATTTATTTATGCTCAAATCATCGAAGGTTTAAAAATTGTTTCAGATTTTCTACATTGCCTCACTGTTAACAGTACAGAATCAGAAGAGAAAACAGTTGAAGCTCACAAGGAGCATCATGGGAAATAAAAAAGTTATCTCCATATGTATCGTGCCTCTGTGGTACGTCGATTGTATAGCGAAAGAACGACTAAACTGACTTTGCAGCTTCTAAAGAAGGGTGCAGTCAAAGCGGAAAGGAGTTAAGGGACGTCGCATTGTAACGAGAAATTTGGCTTTAGCGGCAAAACTTCAGACTTGCAATCTAAAGTGTGTGGTTCCAGTTTCGGCTAGGACATAGACGGTCATGACTGAAGCCTTCCGGTGTTTTCCCCAGTGGCTGCCGGAATGTACCTTCAGTTGCATCTCAACCGAGTTCTTCCGAGTTCTTCCAGCTCATTCATCACTACCGCTCAGTCTTTCGACGCTATGGATCCTGTAATCTGAGTTACTGACGATGGTGCCAAATGAAATATAAAATAAAGAAAACACAAAAATAATGCTAACGTAATTCGCTAAATATTTATCGGATCGAAAAATGTCTCCAACATAGAAGTTGTATAAAATAAATTCATATTTATGTCAACTACGGGGCCGTGCCATAGCTCAAGAGGTTAGTCGCTGGCTTCCCACCGGGCGGCCCGGGTTCGATTCNAGGTTTGTCAAGTGGGATTTGTGGTGGTTAAAGTGGCGCTGGGACAGGTTTTCTCCGAGTACTTCGGTTTCCCCTGCCTATATTCATTCCACCAATTGCTCCACAATCACCCTCACCTATCATCTGGGGCTGGTACAATAGGCCAGAAGTGGCCGCAGTACAAGGGACTTAGTCCCAACCCACTGCCATTAAAAAAATTGCGTAAACTACACTTTCTTCTAAGTCCTGCAGTTCTTTAAGTAATTAAACAGGCGAGAGTGAAGGCGTAATGTAGCTAGGTTAAGCTTATATTCCTCTTAGCAGAACCTGAATTTAGTGATAAGTAAAAATTCTTATTCGTTATCCATTTTTGCCGTGCAGTAATATGCTTCTGTCATTTAAGAGTTTATGTCCCTTGTTAATATTTACACTCTTTATGAAGGTTATTAAAGCACGTACAGTAATTAATACAATATGCATGTGGGTACATAAGCTGATTAATAATTTGTAACATAAGAAATAGGCAATTTAAATTATTTCAGCACAATTTATTTTATGAAAAAAGTGGGCCAAATGACGAGTACTGTAATATTTTGAATCATGACACAGTACATCATGATACTTGCATACAAGGGTTCCTGAGGAACTTTTTTTTTCACTGGCTATACAGTCCCCTTGGGTCCTGGCTTCTGATTTTTCAGTTTCATGATCATTTTACAGAGGGTAGGACTCCTTGAACGCGTGATCAGCTCGTCGCAAGGCCTCTACCTAAACACAATATAACTCAAACACATAACATACACATACCAAACATCCATGCCTTGTATGAGATTTGAACCCACGATCCCAGTTTCCGAGCGCGCGAAGACTGTACATGCCTTAGAACGTTCGGCTACAGTGACCGGCTTCGGAGGAATATACAGTCTTCATTTCGACCCTGAAGATGAGGGAATATGTTCCACCGAAACTTGTATAACCATCTACCAGAATACACGGTGTGCTGAGACGGATTACAGCCAGAATAAGAATCTGCCCCTTCGTGAAAACCTCCAAACAAACTGCTCTAATTTTATGACATTCTTTTGTGCGCCTTGAGAAGGTTTAAAAGTAGTTAGTTAGTTAGTTATTGGAGAGGGTGAGTTTCCCCATGCACTTAGACCTGCATTGGTCCATTGTGCTTCCTTCTATGATTCCTACCAGTCTCTATATCCTACCGGTACTGGTGCTTACGATCAGTCCCGCCCAGCCAGCGAGACCGGCTCTACTGGCTGAGAGGTATCTATAATGCTTCCCCCATCTACCAGAGGTATTAGAGACTGCTGTTAGGCGGGAAACGTCCGTAAATTTGGCTCAGTGACCTTCTTTGGAGATATGAGGTTCTTTTACGTGCCGTAAAGCTACGACACGGGACCCACGGCTTAAAGTCCCTCCCGGAGGACTTGTTCCCTGAATTTTTCCGCCCTTAAAAATTCGACGACCTTCGCCGGGTATTTGAACCCGCGTACTGCGAGTCATGAGGTGGGAACGTTACCTCTAGACTACGGAGGCGGCTTGGTTTAAAAGTAAGAAATGCGTTGCTCCTCTTATTCAACAGTAATTAGAAACAGTGCCCTGTGTGCCCATTTAATACAGCAAATTTATGTATAGAAACAATATGAGCAGGTTATAACTAGAGTCTGAAGATAAAATATTTTGATTGAGGTTTATCCACTACAACACGTGGATTTCGGATATGCCCACCTACCGCCCTTCCTTCTCTTGCTTGTGAACATATTTGTATTTCAGTTTCTTACTTTTATTTCGTTGTACAATGTTCCTTCAAGCTTTTACTTCATCTCTCGTTATACGTGCAGGTTGAGACATTTTAACGATTAAGCAATTCGAAACGAAAACGCTATATGCGCCACGCAACAAAAATAAAATACTGTCGTTGTAGTAGACAATAACACATCTGTTTTGTACCTCCAAGCAATGCCTCTGTGATTTCTTATAGTGCATTTAAAGTGGCGAATATTTGTCGTCGTTTATTTGCTACTGTAAATAAGAACGTTTCCTCTTATGTATGTATGGAAATTGTACTTGTATCATTTTAATTATAAATGTCCTTCAGCTCAAAGTTTTCAACAGAAAATACGACAGTAAGGAAATTTATTCAGTAACTGTAGTTTCCGAAGAAGAATGAATGTTTTTATATATCTATAAGACTTTCCATCTTTGTATCATCCAAAGAGCTTAGCTGCTGGGATTCTAATTCAAAGTATTTTTAATTTATTTTCCAAATAATCTGTTTTCTTAACTGAGGGAATATTTCTCCCTTGTAATAAATTTCCCAGTTCAATGTCACTTCCTTTCTGAATTGGGTAGGAATGTACCTGACTTGTTCTTACATGTCACTCTTTTATTAGTGGGGTGGGACTAAGTCCCTTGTACTGCGGTCACTTCTGGCCTATTGTACCAGCCACAGATGATAGACGATGGTGATTGTGTAGCAATTGGGGGGAATGAAGTCTGGCAGGGGAAACCGAAGTGCTCGGAGAAAACCTGCTCCGGTTCCACTATGTCCACCACAAATCCCACATGTCCAGACCCGGGCTCGAACTCTGGCCGCCGCAGTGAGAAGCAGTGACTAACCGCTTGAGCTATGGCGCGGCCTCACATGTCACTTATACATATGTCCAGTGATTGAGGTTACCTCTTTCTAAGGGACCCAACAGAGTAGGTGTCTTCTCTCACCTGAGGACGGAAACAGATCCAGTTTCCGAAACGCTGTGTTTTTATTAGTTATTTAGAATCCGGACGATGGACAAAGTCCGAAAACCCAGTATCAAAGTGTAACAGTTTTAACATAATTTAATAAAATATTTGTAACCTATCAAGACACAATGTTTTAATATTTGTGTAGCTTGTTAACAGATGATGGAAGTTGCACTAGTGAAATTAAATCCAGGATTGCCATGGCATAAGCTGAATTTAACAAGAAGATAAATCTTTTTACCAGCAAATTGGACTTAAATTTGAGAAGGAAACTAGTGAAATGCTACATTTGGAGCATAGCTCTGTATGGGGCTGAAACATGGACACTTAGGGCAGTAGATCAGAAACATCTGGAAAGCTTCGAAATGTGGTGTTGGAGAAGGATGGAGAAGATCAGTTGGACCGATTATGTGAGAAATGAAGAAGTGTTAATTAGAGTCAGTGAGCAGAGGAATATCCTACACGAAATAAGAAAACGGAAGGATAATTGGATTGGTCATGTTTTACGCAGAAACTGCCTTCTAAAAGAAGTTATTGAAGGAAAGATAGAGGGGCGGATAGAAGTGACAAGAAGACGAGGAAGAAGACGTAAGAAGATGCTGGATGACCTTGGGGACAGAAGAGGATACTGTCATTTGAAGTAGAAAGCTCTAGATCGCATCAAGTGGAGGAACTGTTTTGGAAGAGACTGTGGACCTGTCGTCTGAGAGATTACTGATGATGATGATGATGAACAAGACACCTGAAGATGGTCGTTTGGGGCCGAAACATGTAGTGTCAAAATATAAAATGTTAAACTAAAATTAAGGAGTGAATAAAGAAGTGTTGCAATATTGATGGACGTTGAATACATGGACGGTAAGTCTTACCAGGACACATTAAAAAATTAATTCTGAAAAAAGAATAATAATGATTCTGACGAAGAGATATGGCTTTCAGGCTAAAAAATTATAAAGAAACAACATATATCTGAAATAAAATTCTTGCTTCTTCTGGCACATATGGGATTCTGTTTGGGTTTTCATGGTCCATGTTGGCGTCACAGACAAAGATCGCAAAAGCGTTACTGTCACAGTTTTTAATTAATGTACAGTGAGGCCTAAATGTCTTTTATCCATGGCAATAGTGCGACAGCTGGATCGAAAGTACAGAATCAATTATATCACAGTGATATAAATCGTCCTAAGGTTTTCAAATGTTCAATGCGATCAAAAAACTTTAATAACATAGATCAATAGCTATATATATATTTATTTATCCTCGCCCTAACTGTAATACCAGTCAACAAGTGATCAATAGAGGTATTGTAAGCGATTATTGTATTTGTGTTCAGCTGTCAGAAAGCAATGTTACCATGGCGAAAAGGGACTTGTTGATACGCCCTGGTGAGTAGGAGTGTTTAGCTACCCCCCCTCCCCCTAATCTGACAGCAGAACGCCGGGACGCGGTTGCGTCCTGCGCTGCGCCGCCACGTGCTTGCCACTAAAGCACCGCCATATAAAACAAGTGAGAATCCACGGGTCACTACCAGTTCGCCGCTTCCTGCGACATCTTCCAATTCTACCTAACTCCTTATTCTTCTCTTGGGAGAACATCAACTCACCAAAACGACGACAGTCTACGGTCTTCGACAGCGGAAGGTTAGCCAGACAAACTATTAGCACGTAGTGAAATACTTGTGAAATTTTTATTAAATTTACCTGAAGATGTTTATAACCATTCTAAAACACAAACAATAGTTTTCATATACTAAAGTATTGTCTAAGAGTCCATTTCGTCACTATGCATGTAAACAGTTTGTAGGGTTAGAATATTTAAATATTAGTTTATATAAATTTCATATTTATATAATTTCAATTCAGAATATTAACAAGTATATGCTATTAAAAGAATAACTGCCCATAATTAATTACAAAAAAATTAAATTGTCCTCTGCTACTCTTTTAGAAGATGAATGTTTTAGGGTAATTTCCAAATAATGGAAGAACAAAATCAATATTTTTTTTTGCGGGAATTATTTAAAGATTTCCTTACTTGTCAATATTTAGCTTCTTACAACGTTGATAAATATAACCGTCCCGAGTTCTATGTCCTGCTAGGTTCGTCATTATCTGAAATATTATTCTGGTCTGTGTTGGTTTCAGTCCAACAGTTCTCAAAATAAAACGATTTAACTGGAATCAGGAAGGTGTCATAATCCAGAATGCTTGGACCTAGACGGATAATTCTGACAACGCTGTGTTTTATGGAATTAAAAATAGACGCTTACTTGAAGCTCGCATAAATTGAGCCTACAGCCGATTTTATGAAACAAGAAACTTGATGTATCATGGAGTAATTACTTATATTACTACATTCTTTATAAATTCTACATATTTCAAACCTGAACACTATTGGTAGCAAAATATAAAAGGGATAAGTGAATGTTACCGTATTTACGCATGTATAGGCCGCACATTTTTTGCCAAAAATTCAAGAGGAAAACTGGGGTGCGGCTTATATTCGAAATATTCGAAATCACACTTCATTTAAAAAAAATAATATTCATAATTAGTAATACAGGGTGTTCTACTCCAGAAATAATATTCCCAGAAAATTATTTTTTCTATAATTTCTGTCTGAAAATTGTGCTGCGGCCTATACATGCGTAAATACGGTATATGTTGCAGCTGTATTAGAGCATTATTCATTTTCGGCATGTAATATTACAGGTTCGATTTTGCTGAAAATTCGGGAAATATATGTACCATTGTTGAACTGAGTGAAGTGAAAAATTTCAGTTACATGACTCCAACTTGCGCTATAGCAACTGGATTCAGACTTCGCGGGTTCATTTCAGTTGTCACTCTTCACACGTTTCCGACCTCTGTAATAGGAGGACGGCAAAGTTCGTTCTACATATATATACATGCATACATAATATACCGTCTAGAATACATGGGAGATATATGTTGGACAAAGTGGCGGTTTCCCTTCTCAATTATCATTCCCCCCAACTGCTTCATATTCATTAATTATCCTCTCATCGACGCTGTATAGGCTCGATACTGAAATGAAATAAAGAAATTAAAAACCTGCAATACGCTGTGATGTCTACATGTAACACAAATTTTCTGAAAGAATTTAAGAATTTTTATTTATACGTTCCACATAATTAAATTAACACACAGCTTTCCCCATTCTCGATAAATTAGAGTGGTTAATTTTTGTCATACTCGCCCTTATACCTGTTAATGTTTCCATTATTGATTAATCTCATGGATCCTACTTGAATCAAACATTGTAAATTGAAACTGACAAATTTATCAATTTTAATCACGATAATAACTATAAAGTTTGTATTGTACTCTTACAAGAATATAACAGATATTTACAAATTAACCGTATTATATGACATACGACATGACATATAATATTTTAATTAGTATTTACAAATTACTCTCAATAATTTGTAAGTGAGAATCAGAATATAATTTTACTTTTGACGCAATATGGATAATATAATATTAAGAATTAAAAATTATAGTGCTTATAATAGTAACAAATTAATATTACTGAATTGAATTACATTATAATAAATAACAATTCGCATTTCAGCATTTGTTTATTTCAGGCAAATCTAGTGTAACTGACACGCAAATCTCTATACGATTTAAATTCAAGTAGAACACAACTTAAAGGTTTTGGGCCACAAAGTATAGTTAACTTTATGTTTTAAATCGATTATATGGTGATTAAATTACGCTGCTGAGCTCTGAAAACATCATCCCGAAGTGAAGAAGCAGCAAACAGTTGCGATAATTTTGTTTTTCAGACGCTTATAATTGCATGTAGCACTTATAATTCCCAATTCAAATTCTTATTTGTGTAAATTCTTGCTCTGTAATAGTAGATTAATATAATCTGGACATAGTTCCACTTGCTTTCTCTCGTAATATAATTTTGTTAATTATATCAGCAAATTTTAAAGAGACTATACGTAATGGAGATAATGTATCGTTATCGTAATGACATTTACGAAAATAAATATACTGAAGTAGGGACTGACAGAGGACCCAACTTGTGAGAGGTGCTTAGAAGAAGATGAATCTGCCACATACATCTATTGTGACTGTAAGGCTATAACTTATTTAAGACATCGCCACCTGGGTCAATTCTTCATGGAACTAAGTGACTTTTATGACGCCCCCGTGAACAAAGTCCTACATTTCATTCGAAGTGTAGGATTAATAAAGTGTTAATCCAAAGGAGAAGCAAAATAGATCCATGAAGGTCGCAGTGCTAGGGCCAGTTTTATGGCTCACCCCTCATACTCAACATACTGAAGTAAGAAATTAATTAGGCGACATTCTATCATAATGACGTATAAATCCAGCCGCACTATGGCCCTGGGGTTGACTCAGCCTCTAACAGAAGTGAGTACCAGGAATCTTCCTTGAGGTAAAATGCGTCCGGCGTGTAAGACTAACAAACTCACAGCCATCTGTGAGCCGATTGTCTAGAAAATGTTGGAGCCTCAAGGTTTCACAACCCTATGGACCTTCACTGCCTGTTACGGGGATAACTTTACTTTCATTGTTAGCAACTGAGTAGTCATTGTTAGTATGGGAGAGAAATTGGAGACGATCTACATTTATTCATGTAAGAGTTGAGGTTTTCACTGCGGTGACTATGAAGAAAGCAGTCTTCTTGGATATGGCGCCGTGTAATGTGGTGTTAACTGACGTTTCGGAGGAAAGTATCGTCTCCATCTTCAGGGTAGAAGGAAAAATAAGAAAATCCGCAAGCGAAGAGACCGTGAGACTGCTTGTACTGGTTCTCACAGTCTCTTCACTTGCGGATTTTCTTATTTTTCCTTCTACCCTGAAGATGGAGACGATACTTTCCTCCGAAACGTCAGTTAACACCACATTACNGGCCACATCCCAGAAGATTGATTTCTAAAATTATTTACACAAATTCATTATTAAGTTATTTTTGCCTTATAAAATTTAATGTTTCTAGTTGGTAAGAATAATTCCAAGAAGTAATTTTTTTTAATCTGCTTGTGAAAAAAAAAATGACAGGCTCTTTACGGCCATGGAATAATCACGAAGAATCTAAGAAAAATGACGGGAATTCACCGTTGAGATATGCGGCAGCCCGTCTGAGTTTTAACCTACCCTCCGTTACTGCCACATTAACTTGATGGGTTTGATCTGTTCGGAACATAGCCTGTCTAGGTAAATACTACAGTCGCATTTATGCTAGAGATTTTACCCACATCAGTTTTAATGATCTGTATGGTTCATCGATTTGTAAGAAATATAACAGAAGAAAGCAATAATATTTCCATTATTTCTGAGAAATATAGATCATAATTCATGTATGAATTTATTTTAATAGATGATGTGGCATCTAATTGTGTCAACATTTTAAGGAAATGAATTTTCTGAGAACACCGCCATTACATTTTCCGTATTTATTTCTAAAAAGAATGAACATATATCACTACTGAATTCTCCCGTATGTATAAAAAAGATACAAAGGGGCAGAGGAAGAACTACACAAGGATATAAAGATTGGGATTCTTTCGACGTTCGACAAGTATTTCATTTTAGAATTACTGTTACTTTTTTACAACCGGTTGTAACCTATTCATGGATTCATACGAGAAGGAGGGTGCCTAGTTGGTTGAGGCACTATGCTACAAGCCGGAAGGTCGCGGGTTCAAGACCCGATGAGTTCATTGGATTTTTTTCAATTGACCTAATCCTTCCAGCCGCACTATGGCCCTGGGGTCGACTCAACCTCTAACAGAAATGAGTACCAGGAATTAATTAAATAATTTTCCTTGGGAGTAAAGCGCGGCCGGAGCGTAAGGCTGACAAACTTGCAGCCATCTTTGAGTCGATTGTCTAGATAATGTGGGACCCTCAACGTCTCACAGCCCTATGGGCCTTCACGGCCTGTTACAGGGATAGCTTTACTTTTTTTTAGGAGGGTCCCTGTTGATTTCGTGGTAACAAGAATTGTCACGTGGTAAGATTTAAATCGGTCAACGTTAGTGAATGAATGTATTTTGCAACTCTAACAACTTAGTGTAAGTTTAGTGAAAGTATTACGCTTCACGTGATTGGTTTTACTGCGTCTAAAAATGAATTTCTAAATACATGTTAAGAGATGTCCCAAGTGTTAGACATTCAATAGGCAAGCTCGAAACTTTGCTTCTTCAAAGGTTTAGTTACTTTCAGTGAGAATGTAGAAAATGGCGGAAGATCTTGCAAGGTCCTGATAGCTCTGTCTCATTCGCTCAACAAGCCTTCACTCCTCTGCTTCCTCGTCTGAATCCTACAGTAACTTGATTCCGTTTTGGTCCGTAGAGTTTATATTATGAACAGGTTTATCTTCCATTCTTAGTTTTAAATTGATTACCCCTATACATCTGTCTTTAAATTTCACCAAATCGGAGTACAATTTTAAAGTAACCTGCAAATTCTAAGGTAAGGAAAGTGTGGCCCAGTCCTTGGTAACTGAAACTGTTCTAGCTCTTGAGAGTGTTAAGATGGATATACAGAATGATGCTCTCTGATCTTGTGCAATTTTACATTACGCAGAAGGAAATGCAGGGCAATACTGTGGAGGATTACCTCTGTGGTCT